GTATGCTAGAAGATGAGAATGAGCAACTGAACCTCAAGAGAGAATAAAGAAACTAAAATTTTCACATCAAGTGATTTTAAACTTGCCCCTTTCAAGTACTGATGGTAAGAAAATTTATCCATTACCCATTACAAAGATAATACACATTAAACGAGGCTCTACTGAAAAAATAAAAGCATACTTCACACCGGAAATGCTGGACGAGCTACTGTGTGCCGGTGGGACTACATGTTGAATACCATGCTTGAGGTTGTGGTTCGGTTGCAGTAAACAGTACCTATCGGCAGGCAAACGAAGCCCTCCAGCTGCTTTTAGAATAGGCAAAGCAATGTTGTTCCTCTCTTTTGCCAGTTCCAGGAAGAGTTCCCTAGAAGGCGGTATGAAATCTGGATCCTGCATCCTCATTTGACGGGCTAGCTGAATGTCTTCTGCATCTATCGTTTTTCTTGAGGCAAATTCCGCGTATTTACGAGCGTCCTCTAACATTTCGCTTGTATATCCGTACGAAAGATTCAGCAGCTGATTGATGACTCCTTCATCGTAGTCGTCTGCGCCACCGATCTGTTTGACGATGGCTATCATAATTGCAGTAGCTTTAGGAGTATGCGAAGACATTGACATGATTCCAAGGTGTTTGATCAACCGTGAGGAGCGGACTGTTCAGGTGAAAGAAAAACCTATGACGATGCAAAAAACCTGTCATACAGGACGAATACAAAAAAGCACATGTAAAAACTGTGCAGACCGCCCGTACTAGCAACAGGTACAAAAGCATACAAGTATCAAAAGTTTAATAAGAAAATAAATATACAAACAAATAATAAATAGCATAGAATCGAAGGAAGTAATACACACAGTTCGGCTCAGCCACTTATGATGTGCGGTACAAATTTTGCCATGTTCACATTGTCGTTCATATGATCTTATCGCTACCTAAGGCTTCTTGCCTTCCAAATACTGCGCAAAATATGCTGTGCTGATGCTCAGGATTTCTCTTGAGATATCGAAGGTTATAAACTTTGCAACTATGGTATATCGGTCTGTACTAACTGGACAGAAAGGGAAACTTCCAAAACTTCGTGAAGGAAAACCGGTACAAAGCTTAAAGCGTCAGTAATCGACATAGAGCAGACGACGAAAGCCCAGAATGTTCCACACAGATGGTCTATACATAAACTAATGAATTGCGATTTTCATCGCAGTGATATTCTACCGTCTTCGCATTCAAGCCCTAGCTACCTAAAAAGCATTTAACATGATCACCGTACGACATTAAGGATGGGCGGCAACACACGAACGTCACTTTATTTGTAAAACATCATAAAAATGGGTTACTCTGCTGTTTAAGCTCTGTTAACCTCAGACGAAGACCGCAAAATGACTATTTATCTGCATGATATTGCGTTGCCTTCAATAAATCATTTGCCGTATCTCCAATATATGTAGCGTGTTGCGACTGCGTTTGCAGAACGGGTTTAAGAATCATACGCTGTTCTTGCGTCGAAGTATATCAAATGACGAATTATTCATCTAAGACCAGATTTCACGGTGTACTGCACGGAGCCATTGCTTCTAGTTGTCTAGTGGGGACATTTAACCAGGTCACGGCTTCATGGTATTTGAGCAGCTGCAATGCCAGATGCACCTCCCATCATATCGTCTACTAGACCCATCTCGCGCTCATCACGAAAGATGTTTTAGGAGTTCTTACCCATTATGATACCGCATAAACGTCATGTTGCTATGATAACATAATAAACAAAGAGAATATGCAATATGCTTTGAAATCTCGTTGGAGGAGTCATTCGTCAATTTACGTCTCTGGTTTGCTCTGTCCGCTACATTTTCAGTTACTGGACAATTTTCTTGTAAAGCATCAGCTACTTACTCTACTCCTCTCCAAAAGCAGATCTGTCTCAATCTTGTTCATTCATGTTCTACGCTGACCTCTCCATCGACATCTACTTCGGTTTTAGTATGACAAACTGACTAGCTGGAATGAACGGTTTAGGCCAGCCAGTCTGCCTAGTAATACCTATCTTATTTCGTTAACCCTTCACATCTGAGTAAACTTCTATTATTATGACAAATTCATTAAACGACTCTGCCGTTTAACCTTCATTATACATCCAAGTTAATGCTGCTTTATGTTGTTCAATCATCAATCTTCGTTGTTAAGTAAAACTTTTTAATATTAATAAACAATACATAACATGTTACTCGGCTGGTTCAGCATGAATCTGCGGAAGTGAATAAAATGCTCGCTCGACGTAATTAAACGAACGCGGAAACTTTATATGATACAAGGATTTTAAATTTGAAAGGATAAATAAAGATTCCAAATATCAAATGTAGGATAATCGACACTACTGCACAAGACATAACAGACACAAGACTGAATACTTCGTGAACTATTCAGTGAACGTACTTGAACTCGGACGATGTGCTGCGATGACTGGAACCCTATGTTGAATGCCAGGTTTCAGGCCGTAGGGTGGCTGCACAAGATCATATCTTTCCGAATGCAAGCGAACTCTCCCAGCTGAGCTCATAAGTGGCAAAGACGTCATGTTACACTCTTTCATTAGCTGTAAATTTTGCCTCGCAAATCCTTCAGGATTTGCATTCTGCTTTCTCATTTCTAAGGCTAGCAGAAGATCTTCTTTGATAACTGCTTTTCTTCCGGCGAATTCTGCATAGCGAACTGCGTCCTTCAGCAATTCAATCGTATATACATAAGAAAAGTTCAACAGCTCCTCCAAGACCCCTTCGCCGTAATTTTCGACACCGTCAGTCGATTTCACGATCGCGGCTATAAATTTATAAGCCTTGTCTGTAGGCGAATGTGTTGGCATGTTTTCAGTGATGCTGACTAGTGTGACGAATGACTTCCAAGGGAAACCCACCGTAGGACTAAAAAACCGTCAAACTGAAAAAATACAAAAACGCGAACAAACATCACAGATACCGCCTGGACTCATGCAAAGTAAAAGTCGCACAAGAATCAGTACTTTAATAATAAAGAAATAAATATATGTAGCATGTAGGTAGGAATGACGAATAACACATTCAAATAATAAGAATGGTTAGAAAATTAAGGCGCATTCTGGCTCAGCCGTTCGTGATGTACCGTACAAAGTCAGCGATATTCACATTGCCGTTCGAATCTTCCTGACCCTGCAGAAGTTGGTCTACTTCCTCGTCGGTCAGTTTTTCGCCTGCAGCCGAAATCAGAAAATAATTATTTACATTTTACACCGTAAAGGCTGCGGCTACGTACCTAGGTTAGTCAAGATGTGGCGCAGTTCTGCAACACTAATAAAACCGTTGCCTTCCTTGTCAAAGTGACTCAATCCGTCAACAAATTCCTCAGCGCTCAGATTTTCGCTCGTTTTTACTATCGTCTGGTAAATGGGCAGAAACTCTTCGAATGTGATGCGCGTATCTGAAAAAACACTTTAGTGCACAATCACGAGTTTAGAGCCAGCAGACAGAAAACAAAAACAGT